AATATGGTTCATGGGGTCACGAAGAGTCGGACACGACTTAATGACTAAACAACAACAATATGCAGCATCTAATGGTTCTTCATTCAGCATCTAGGAAGTTGGGACTGCTTCTAGTTCCTGATTTGGCTAGAAAGTATGAGTGCCCTTATCATGTGAGGAAGGCAGATAGCAATCAATAAATGGCCTGTCTCAGCCACAGTCTCTAGCTATGAAATGTCTGCTGCAGAACGGCCTCCCTTGCATCTGCCATAATCTCATTTTCAGCACAAGCACACTCATTTCCCATGCCTTGTGCATCACCTTGTCATGCTAGCAGGCTTTTAGTTTGGTAGATGCTGTGCATTTTTATTCTTCTGGATTCTGTTTTTAAGCAAGCATTTTGAACTCTCTTTGCTGGTATGTCATAAACTGTCTAGAGAACCATTGTTATTAGACAATCTAAGATAGTTCAGCAATTGACTGTGTGTTCTAACACTCTTTGAACATTGAATTAATCATTGTATTTTAAAACCCTTCAAGAAACTCAGGTTTATGTACAAGGTACTTTACCCACATTCACATTATAGTCATGGCAACATTATAGGGGACTTTAAACTGAAAATAATTAATTAACTCTGAATTCCATAGCACAGTAGGAATCTGATCCCAGTTTTTAGTCTGACGTTTTTATCACACTAGCTATTGATATTAATTGTGACCGACTTGCCATTTTAACCAGCTTCCATAACTGAAACAACTCTGTGTTGTTCTTCAGAACTGAGCAATTAAACTTCTAGTTGAACAGGAAGAGATTCAGATATAAACTAGATTCTAAACTAGAATCTCTTCCATTCAGATGTATTGAGATCATAGCAAACTGGCAAACATGGTTACCGACTTCATATTTTAATACATTTCCTTTAATACATCTGGACGATCACCCACAGTAAAAAAAAAAAAACAGTCAGGAACTTACGACATTAAGGGACATGATGATTATAAAGTTGATACAGACTCCAGTGCCTGAGGTTGCAAACTGCCAGTACATTTTTATGAAATACCACTGGAAAGAGGCAAATCGCTCCATAGCCACCAGGCGATAGACCACCACTGCGAACACTGCAGTTAGCACTAATGAAATCTGCAGACACAAAAAATTGAGGAGACACGTAAAATTGAGTATTAAGACAAAGATGTGACTCTATTGTTATTATCTGACTCGTATGTATTATTCATTAGGTCTAAATTTGGGACAAAGATTAACAATTTATACAACATGAATTAGACATTTTCAGAGTTTTTACCATGAAAAATATTCCTGACACAGATACCATCAGTCGACTAAGTTTATCAGGGAAAGGTTGAAAAGGCTCAGGCTTTCCTGTTATAGGATTTACTCGCTCCACTTGAGAATATTTTGCTTCAAACTGGGGACGAAGTTCTTCCTGCAATTACAAAGATTTAGTTTAGGCCAGATGTGCTTGTGTGTGGATATATATGTCTGTGTCTGTACTGGGATTAGTGGACTATATGCATGTACATCCAAGTGCTAGAATTCTGTTGGCTGCAACAACAAGCTAGCATTATCATAAGTGGAAACCCATTCTAGGAAAACTGTTCCTGGCATGAAAATGCAATATATTAACTATATATGGAAGTGATTGAAATATCTATATCTATATCTCTATGCTTAATTCAGTCAACATGCAATTATTATTCTAATAATAGAATTTTCTATACTTGATCATTTGTCAGGTTGAAATCTTATTCTTTGTAGTATGTGCTATGGGTTTTATATATAAATACTCAAATGACTAGATACAAAAGAAATCAAACCGAAGTTGACATTCAATAAGTATAAGTTGTCAAAGAGGCAGACAAGTTGTTGGGTAGCTGTCAGTCTTAAAAATCAATGAATGTTGATGCCAAAACTGCTATTATAAAGGAATCTTACCTCTTCATCTTCCCAGTCTATGAGGTCCCAGTCATAAGTAAGTACAGCTCGTCTTCTTTTCCAAAACTCTAAGAAGACTGTAGCTGTGAAAACCATGATTTATATGTCAGCATCTTATCACTGAGGTGATTGCCAGTTTATTGGTCCGCAATTCCAAATTCATAAAGTAATTCTGAGAAAATATAATTTTCTATTTTCCTGAATGCTTTTAAAGTGTAATGTAGTTATGATGGCTAGAAGGCTGGTTGTAGCACAAGCACTGATTCAGTTTCACAAGATGTGTAAAGCCAACAACTATATTATTCCATATACGTTTTAAAAAAGGTGAAACATCATTAAATCCAGGAATTCAGGTACTTTGCACTGCTGACAGTTTGCTATAGTAAAGGGTCATTCTCAGAACTATTTAAACAAAGTCACATATCTGTTTTCATGTGAAAGTCCATGGTGGTTGATTTTCCAGCTTTAAGCTGTATATGACATACTTGAAAAATAACCAGAAGAGAAGCTACATCTGTAGGCTTTTCTTTGTATAGTAATTATTCTTAGTGCAATAATTAACCACTAATCTAATGACTACCAATTAAGAAGATACATACATACATATACATACAGACACAAAGAAATAAGATGATAACAATATCTTAGCCAATATTTGGCCTCTACTTGGAGAGAAAAAAATGGTTTTGTGACACATCCACCCTAAGTAATATTTTTAAACACACACTCAACCTTCCCTTCCTTTCCCTTCATTCTGTTTAATTAACCAAATAAAGACAAAAACAAAAACAAATGGAGCCTTATGTAAGCCGAGGACAACATTCCAAATATTAAACCAAAGGTTATTACACAATTTATAATAATCATATCAAGGCAATATTTGTTTCTTTTTTAAAAAATCTTTTTTCAAAAACTAATGTCTTATTCAGTAATAATAATGAGCATGCCATGCTATTCTAAACACTGATAGCGTATTTCTGATTTCCAATGCTGCCTCAAAAAGCAAGCAAGCAAGTAAACCACAAAAATTCTCCTTCTATTTCAAGATTTAAAAGGGTTTCAGTTTGGGAAGAAGCAAGGCCCTATCATGCAACAGAAGCTCCCTGATGGCCTTCTGGATTCAAAAGATAAGAACATGTAAGAGGAAATATGATTCTTCTTCCTGTTTTTCCTGCCGAAAGGTTTTTGTCCCTCAATGAGTTTTGTGTACCAATTGACTACATCCATTTATTTTAGTTGTCTCATACTTTTCCCCACAACTGGGTTAGGGTTTAGGTTAAGGATACAGTTATCAATCAATGGTTGACAATTATTTCTGTGAATTTATGTACCCATGCATAACATAAGGATATTGCACCAATCAATTATGTCTGTGGCAGGCAAACACATTTTCAGCATGACATTTTAACATTAATGGCAGGCAAACAAGGAACGAGAACTGGAAATATTAATCAGAAGGTCTGTTCCAAATTCAATATGAGAGTTTGATAAGATTTCACATAACAGTAGATAAGTAGATATAGGCAACACTTCACTGAAAGAATGAACTCATAAGAATTTATTTATTTATGACCTTTACATCCTGGTATAATCCAATCCTGGTTCTTTTTTTTCTAAACACCATTTTTGCTATGTTATCTAATTCTACTTTTTGATTTATCTCACTCAAGAGCATTCCCCGGTTTTAACATGACAGGTTACCATTCAGGTCATCTTAGGGAAGACAACTTGCCCTTTTGTGATGTGTCCTAAAATCTGAAGAAGACATCTGTTACGCAGTTCACCTGTGGACATGGAGGTGGCTCTGCAGTCCCAATCTGGAAGTGCAGAGTCTAGCACAATGGGGGCAGTGGAAGTCCATTGTTGTAGTAACTGTGGGTGTATTCTGTGACACTGCTCACGGTTTTCTATCAGTTTTTGGTCTTCAAAGCCGGTGGAGGCTTCATAGCACAAAGCTTGCCAGCGGGTTCTGTCAGCAGCTGCAGCTTCTAGTTCCCTTGGCTGGATGTCATAGTGGCATAGGGTTTCTTTCACAGTATCTTTGTAGTGCTCACATGATCAACCTCTAGATCTCCTCCCAGATTCCAGTACACTATAGAACAACTGGTGAGGCATATGGTGGTCATCCATTCTGATGACATGTCCAACCCACCGCATCTGGGCTCTGATAATCAGGGACTCAATGGTGGTGGAGTCTGCATGAACCAAGACCTCCAGGTTGGAGACATGGTCTTGCCAACATGCCGAGGATGAAATTTCTCCAATTGTTTGATGAGCCTTTGTTACAGAGTCCAAGACTCACATCCATATAGGAAAGAAGGGATAACCACAGCTCTGGAGACTTTCACCTTTATGGAGATGCAGATGTTGTGTTGATTGAACACTCTAGTATGCAGCTGCCCCAGTGCCTGGCTGGCCTTGCTGATCCTGGAGTCAATTTCTTTCTTCAAAGACCCATCACTCAAGAAGATGCTTCCCAAGTATTTGAAGTTGTTTACATTTGTCAGCTGGGTGTCATCAACAGTGAGTTTTGTTTCCACAGGGTTGGTATTTGGCGCAGGCTGGTAGAGTATTTCAGTCTTGTTCAGGCTGATAGTCAGGCCAAAGAGCATAGTAGCATCTGAGAATTTGTTCAGTATCAACTGTACATCACTGTCTTTGTGGACCAGGAGTGCACAGTCATCAGCAAAGATGGTTTCTTGGATGACTGTATGGAGGCACTTCATCTGTGCATTCAAACGGCAAAGGTCAAAGAGAGAGCTGTCTAATTGATACTTGATGTACATTCCCTCCTTCAGATCCTGGATAGCATGTGACAACAACAAGCGAAGAACAGATTAAAGCAGACTAGGGCTAGCATACAACCCTGTTTTACCCCATTGGAAATGGCAAATGTAGTTGAGGTATCACCGTTGTAAAAAGCCTGTCCTGCCATTCTGTTGTGGAGTAGTTAAATCAACTTCACAAATTTCTTTGGGCATCTCAGGATGGTCCAGAGAGCCTCCCTATTTACAGTGTCAAATGCCTTTGTCAGGTCAATAAAGACAGAGTAAAGAGGCTTGTTTTGTTTGATGCACTTTCCCTGGACTTGCCTCACAGCAAATATCATATCTGCTGTTCTCTGTTCTGGCTGAAAGCCACACTGTGCCACAGTGACAAGTCTGTTCAGGAGAATGCAGGCAAAGATCTTGCCTGCAGTGAACAGCAGTGAGATACCCCTGTAGTTTTCGCAGTCTGATTTGCTTCCCTTATTTTTGTAAAGAGCCACAATGAGGGCATCATGGAAGTCATCAGGCATCTCCTCTGTGGACCAAATGTCTTCCAAGATGTACTGGAACACCTGTAAGGCATTTGGGTCTAGTACTTTGTAGATGTCAGCAGGAATGCTATCCTTGCTTTATTTGAGTTCATCTGTGAGATTGCTTTCTTGATCTCATCAGTAGAAGGAGGCAGGTCTAGGGCATCCAAGACTGATAGCTGAGGAATCTGCTGTAAGACATCATGATCAACTGTGGATGGCCTATTGAGCATGACACATTTATTCATACTATTAACTATTGAGTTTGACACATACAGTAAGGGATTAATAACAGGTGGCTGGATGCCCTCCCTTGGCAGGTTTCCTGGGAAAAGGAAACTTAAAACTTTTTAACCTGATTGGTTGAGTTTCTTGAGAAGCCATTGCTTTATTGGAAGTTGATGTAATAGGACAGAGCATCCATCCATCCATCCATCCATCCATCCATCCATCCATCCATCCATCCATCCAT